TGGTCCCTGCCCCGCCCTCTACCCACCCGCTCTGGAGGCCGGCCTTGGAGACCCCCACTCCCCCCGCCCCCAGGAGCTGGGCTGAGGCCTCGCGGGAGCCCCTGATGGCTGGTCGTGGGAAAAGCCGCGACTTTACTCACAGCGATTCTCTCCCTCAACAGCTACACAAAGTTGGCAAGGCTGATCCGACCTACAGCCGGACCCTGACTTATCCACCTCCACCCCTGCCCTGAGCCACCCTCCACACCAGCAGCTCCACTCATCCCTGTGCGGTGGGAGCACAGACCTCTCACCACCCTTTCCTGTGCTCCAGGTGGTCACGGCCCCCCACTTTATGTCGTCTGGGCGGCCCCCACATCCAGGCCTGGCTTCTCACCTGGTGGGGGAGCTGAACTTTGGGGCCCATCTGAGCTGCACCTGTATGGGTAGGATGACTTCCCACTTACCTGAGCTATTGTGGGGAGAAAGTGGGACGACAAACACAGAGTGTAAGCAGGTTAAGCACCTTTATTATTAGTATCTGGTCAGTTCCTCTCCTGCCCTTCCTGCCTGGTGTGGAAGAACAATTACCCAACTGACTAAGAGCAATTCCCAGGCCCTCAGGCAGATCATTTAACCCCTCAGCCTGTTATCTCACCTGTAAAATGGGGGTAATCTCTATGTAGCCAAGCTGTTAGGAGGCTGGGGTAATAAACATACCAAGTAACTGACATGGTGTTTGGCACATAGAAGCAAAACAGAAAAGTACTACCAGCTGCTATTATTAAAATCATTATTCTGACAGAGAAATACCTACTCATCCTTCAGGACAGCCACGTGTCACTTCCCCCTGGGAACCTCCCTTATTCCCCACGTGGCAGTCATAACTTCTGCCTCCGGATTCCCACTCCCTGGTGACCTTCTACCACAGCCTTATCATTTACTCAGCAAATACGTGTTTAGTGCCTTATGTGTAGTGTATGCTGACTCTGGGTGTAGGACATAGAGTGATGACAGTCAATGTGTGAATAGGTGGATAACTTCGTAGCACGAAGGAGTCAGTAAAATGAGAAAACAGTAGAGAAACTAAGGTGGGGGAGGAGCTGTTTATATTGTGTGGTCAGGGAAGGCTTCATTGAGCAGGTGACATTCAAGCTGAGTTCTGGAAAAAGCAGCCCTAAACCTGGCCAGTGTGGTTCAGTGGTTGAGCGTCGACCTATGAAACAGGTCCTGGTTCAATTCCCAGTTAGGGCACATGCCCAGGTTTCAGACTCAATCCTCAGTAGGGGGCATGCAGGAGGCAACCAATTAATGATTCTCTCGATGTTTCTCTCTCCCTCTCCCTTCCTTTCTGAAATCAATAAAAGCAGCCCTGCAAAGATCTAGAAAAGTGGTTCTCAACCTTCCTAATGCCCCGACCCTTAATACAGTTCCTCATGTTGTGATGACCCCCAACCATAAAAT